TTTTTATTATTACTATTATTATCATTATCAAAACAATGACAATAAATCAGTCTCAAAAAGGCAACATGAGCACCATTCCTCACCTGTCCTGAGTAAGATTTCCTCACCTGTCCTGTGTAACATTTCCTCACCTGTCCTGTGTAACATTCCTCACCTGTTCTGCATAACATTCCTCACCCGTTCTGCGTAACATTTCCTCATCTGTCCTGTATAACATTTCCTCACCTGTTCTGCGTAACATTTCCTCATCTGTCCTGTCTCACCTGTTCTGCGTAACATTTCCTCACCTGTCCTGAGTAAGATTTCCTCACCTGTCCTGTGTAACATTTCCTCACCTGTCCTGTGTAACATTCCTCACCTGTTCTGCATAACATTCCTCACCCGTTCTGCGTAACATTTCCTCATCTGTCCTGTATAACATTTCCTCACCTGTTCTGCGTAACATTTCCTCATCTGTCCTGTCTCACCTGTTCTGCGTAACATTTCCTCACCTGTCCTGAGTAAGATTTCCTCACCTGTCCTGTGTAACATTTCTTCACCTGTCCTGTGTAACATTCCTCACCTGTTCTGCGTAACATTCCTCACCTGTTCTGCGTAACATTTCCTCATCTGTCCTGTATAACATTTCCTCACCTGTCCTGTGTAACATTCCTCACCTGTTCTGCGTAACACTCCTCACCTGTTCTGCGTAACATTTCCTCATCTGTCCTGTAAAACATTTCCTCACCTATTCTGCGTAACATTTCCTCATCTGTCCTGTATAACATTTCCTCACCTTTTCTGAGTAAAGTTCTGTGTAACATACATTTCCTCACCTGTTCTGTGTAACGTTTCCTCTTCCTCCACATCCTGCAGCTGCGGCGAGTGAGCCGTTCTGTCCTCCGGGATGGCCTCCCTTGTAGCCAAGCCCGCGGCTCCGGCATTGACCTGAAGCAGACGTCATTAGAATACTCGATGATGACAGACAGAGACAGGGGTCGTTTTTTTTCGGGAAAGGGGGGGTGGGGAGATATGAGGAAGACGGGGGTGGGGTGGGTGAGAGATAAGAAGAGAATGAAAGAGAGAGAAAGAGAGAGAGCAAAGAAGAGAGAGAGAGAGAGAGAGAGAGAGAGAGAGAGAGAGAGAGAGAGAGAGAGAGAGAGAGAGAGATCAAACGGGAGAATTGTCTACATGTATCAGCTGCGAGCTCATTATTATTTCACGTCGATGCGGAGAGGAATTGTTTCTGATTATTTTTTTTGTTACATGCTTTTCTTTCTAAGATTGCTTGCTTATGCATTGGCCCTGCTGGCCACAAATAGGAGTGAGAGGGGGATGAAAGAGAGAGGAGAAATGGATTGATAGAACGAGAGGGAGAGAGAGAGAGAGAGA